ACACTGTTTCAAACTTCCTACCAATTCCAAGATCACATGAACCTGTCATAGAGACATTAGTGTTTTGCCCATGCAGCCTTACTGCATTGTAACTTTAAAGGACACCTTTATATAAACGCGCTCACATGCGTGCGCACACACACAAACACACACACACACACACACACACACACACACAAACACATACACTGTTTCAAACTTTCTACCAATTCCAAGATCACATGAACCTATCATAGAGCCATTTGTGTCTTGCTCATTGTTAAAAAAGAAATCTTCTGTCTCATTTCCATTAACACATTCATAACACACAATAGTTAAAACTTAAAAAAAAAACTGGGGAAAAAACTGCTGCTCCAAAACACTTGCCATGTTTTTATTCAGAATGCCTACAAAAGAGCCAACATGTTGCTGGAACAGTAATAACAACAATATCTACATAGCTTCCATTTGCAACCCATTATCCTCAAAATTGTCCAAGACGACAACCCATAGTTGAGAAGAAAACAGGTTATCTTAGACGGGTGGACATCTTAGACGGTGTCATTATAATGTACAAAAAACACAAGGGAGGGAAGTGGGAAGTTTTCGTTTGCACAGACGATTGTCTTTTGACGGGTGGTTGTTAGAGCAAGTTCAACTGTATTTGAAGATCATGATAGTAAAATGATGTGTCATATTCTAAGATTTAAAGACAGTTAAATTTTGTACGCACTGTACTTTGATTGCTTTTCTCTTTTTAAAAGGGTCTTTTATCATTTATTTTCATGAGCAGTTTTCATTTGTGTCATCCCCAATCTTTATGAGCAAACCTCCTAAAAAATTCCAAAGCAAAACAGAGAGAACAGCAGACTCCACAAGTTTGTACTTACAATAGAGCTGTTCTGATCAATCGCCAGGATTGCCTCAGCATCTTGAAGAGCGGCCTGTGTGTTTCCCTGCTGCAGATAGACTAAGGCCCTGGCCTGCAGCACTTTGACATCCCTTGAGTCAATCTCAAGGGCCTCATTATAGAACTGGAGGGCTTCATCAAAGTCAGAAGTTTTTGCCGCTCTTGCCCCACGGTCATGAAGGGATTTCACCTGGGAGGGAATTGTGTTGAACTTTAGACTAAAGGTAGAAAGATGCAGCTAAATGAAAGACTATATTGCACTCAAAACAATGAATACTAGTTTAGTAAGAGTTTTACGGCGCTCACAACTGCATAAGAAGGAATATTAATAATAGTAAGAAAGAGGACAATCAATAAACAGCTGGAAAGAACAATTGTGGCGACAGAGTTGTGGTTCATAAGACGCATGCTATGTATCCCATGGAGAGCTAGAAGAAGTCTTGGTTGAAGAAAATTATAGAAGACAGCTTAAGACAAATATAAGAAAGCGACAGGCAAATTTCTTCGGACACACAATGCGGAAAGAAGCATTGGAGAATATTGTAACAACAGGCAAGTGTGATGGAAAGAGAGGCAGAGGCAGACAGAGGGGAAAGATACTGGACAAGACGACAACATGGCTACGAGCAGCAAGAACAACAGACACCATTGCTGCAATGCAAGACAGAGGGAAGTGGAGGTCCATGATTGCCCACGCCAGTCGGCAAGGCACCGGATGATGATGAAGAATGAGGAACAGTATCTGATGTTGTTGCTCTCATAACTGTTTCTGATACAGATATTGTTGTTAATCCAGTCACCCTTTAGGATGCCCCTAACCAAACAGTGAGGTCAAGGGAGTAGAAAAGTTTTGACACAGGTTTACTGGTGTATAATCTGTTGCTTGGTGAGAAAGCAGGAGGAGGCAGAAGTTGTGAAAAGTCCTGCAAGTAGGGGGAATAAAAGAGTAAGGGTAGGAATGCACCTCACTTCCCCCATCCCCTCCCTTGTGCCGTAACTCTTTAAAGGAATAATTCCTTTCTTCATACACTTCATCCTCCCCCCTCTTGCATACACACCTACTCCTCCTGCTTCAAGCACTCATAAATATAAAAAGAAAATTTCAAGAAGAAAAACAGCATTGATATCCAAAAAGGATAAATATGTCTCAACCCCCAAGATTTACCAATTTGAAGAGCCGTATTTGATAACGCAACTCATCACTTACCTCATTGATCTCTTCAGCCTCACTGATGGCTTCACTCCCCTCAGCCAGGCTGGGTAGGCTAAAGCTGCCCAGGAGGGGAGAGCTAAATTGACCTAGTCTGTCCATAGCTCACTCTGTTACTGATCTATGTGCTCTCCGCACTGGTCAAGTCCTGAAATAATAACAGAAAGTGCCTGTCATTTGTGGAGAGATAAGGTAATTGTCTCTCACATCAAAGTACCAATATATATTAGGACAACTGAATTTTTTATTGGATGTTTCACACTCCAGATCTTTTGGCAGGGCCTAGGTGAAATCCAGCACTAAGGCTTATCCCATCCGGATATGTATCGGAGAACACAAAATTATGAAACTCAAAAAAAGGAGGGAACACACCTACCCAGTCCAACTGCTTTTACAAAATCCAAAACAAACACTGATCTCAAACAAAAACCTCTCATCATATAAATAAACACAATATGAGGCCTGTCTTTGACAATAACACTGTTTGTTTTATTTTTTGGCATTTTGCCCACTTTGTTTTTCACGAATGTTTTGAGTCTCCTATTTGAGTTGACCAACGTCATATGTTGTCTGATGTACACCTCAATGTATATGTCTATGATCATATGACATTTGTAAGTACAGTTGAGCATCATTGTCATGCAGTACAGAAAGCAAGTTCAAAGAAAACACTGCTGGCACACTATATACACGTGGATTACGCTGCGTGTATTTTACCAGCGAACAAAGATGTGACATAACACAGCAGGTTCTGTCTGAGTGCTTGTGAAAGTGATGATTATTATGATATTATTAAACTAGTATTTGGAAAATACCATACGCCTACTGTTTAATGTTTTACAAACAACTTGAATTAGCGGATTTCATTTTAAAAAATTATGAAATCAAGTAGAAATAGAAAAAGAAATGATATTTGAGGCATCATGGTGCAACCAAGCACTCATCAAAACAAGGAAATCAAAGAAACGCATTTTTCCTCCAGTTAGGCAATTTTTGTCGAATTTTTGTTTTTTGGCTCAGCACCTTTTATGTCCATATAAAAATACATTTCCATGTGAATTTTACTGAAAAACGTTGATTAATGGCACAAAATATGTAAATTTTCGGTTTTCAAGGATATCAAGTATAGAAGTTACCAAAATTTGGTAACTTCTCTATGCTTGATATCCTTGAAAACTGATTTGAAAATTAATTTTGGTGACCATTTTCTCGCAAATTTGGCCTCAGAAAACAGATCTCTTTCAATCCCAAGAACCGTGATCCAATAAAATTTTAGATAAGTCCATTTAATGGTTTTGCTTTATATGGTGCATTCAAAAAAACATCCGTTTTCAACCTTGCCCACATTTTTGTAGTATGACGCACCAGCTGCATTAGGCCTACGTACCACTAAATGGTGCAACAATCACGCCATATTGTGAGCTACAGAACAAGTCAAAAGAAGTTAGCAGATATTATTTTTCCCAAATACTTTGCCCGATGAGATCGTGGTTAAAAGTAAGTAAAGAGCAGAGAGCTTTTTGTATTATTGGACATTACCTCTCCACAAACTCACCATCCCTAAATCCTTACGGCTTTTATAGCTTATAAAAAGGGCAAGTTTTTGTAACTTTTTCCTAAGAATCTGCACTTCAAATGACAGGCTGTTGTTTGAAACAATACGTCCAATTTTACCTCATAATTTCCAAGTATTTTTCTACGACTTTTAGCGGTCTTTCAAGCTGAGAACGTTGCACAAAACTAAGATCAGGCCTGTTGGCCTCTTCAGCCTTCAGGGCCCGCCATATTGTATCCAAGTACACAACAAGGGATTTACTGCGCAATATAAAACATGGATTCAATAAAATGGTAAAACAAACTTAAGTATGCCGCAGACGCCTGCTATAAACTTGATTTGTAGATGTAATAATAAATAGTCATAGATGTACGCTATAAGCACATAGTAGATCTACAGGTTTGTAGCGTCTGCTATTTTTCCACTTATTATTTCTGCTCTCATCTTCATCTCTTTAGTTTAGTTTAGTAAGAGTTCTACGGCACTCACGACTGCATGAGGATAAGGTCATATTAATTCATTATGTGTGCGAGAAACACAATTTATTTGGTTGTCTATTCAGTTCACAGCACGGCTTAGATCTCCATCTCTCTTTTGAAGAGAAATTTTTCAAATGTCAATCGATGATTGGAAAACGTTTTAGCTTCTCCGTGTCACTCGTAGCGACTCCAAATGGGAAGAGACTGTGTCAAGCTCTCTTGGAAGGAATACGACTATGACCATGACAAGTCTACTAGACTAAGAATGCTGAGTAACATAGGTCTTTTTATTAGCACCGGGTTCTTTTTTGTCTTTATATCATTTTCTTTCTTTAAT